AATTTATTTGGTAAATTAAATTGCTAAAACAAGTTTACACACCATGCCTGCTGATAAAAAAGCTAGTTGAAAAAGGCAAAATGATAAAATAGTTTCCTATAATTTCGGCAAGAATTCCGACCCTTTGATAACACACTATTAAGTACTTGAGATATTCTGCTTCCTTAAAATTTCTATTGATAAGATAATTGCCAAGTAAGAAGTACGCAGTTCTTTTTGAGATAACATCTTTAATTGTGCAACCTTTTTCTTTTGCGACTGTTAATGGCTTTTTTTTAAACCACGTTTCTAAATCTTGAATAAATTTTTTTTTGTCGTTAGCATGATCATAATCATTTTTTACATCACTCCAATTAAACTCTTCTGGTTGGTTTTTTCAAATATCATTGTGAATATTTTCACACGAATTTACAATACTTCTTGAAAAATGTTTCGTCCACTCATTTATATTCTTTTTTTTTTTTTCTGTTTTTTTGGTTTTACTTGTAGTCCCACAGAACCTAATTTCTCTTCCTTTTAAAAGTATAATTTTTTTAGATAAATATGTAAATAAATATATATATATATAAATAAAATAGTACTCACAAAAACTGCTCTTTTATCTAGATTCTTCAACACATTAACAACACTTTCAACAAGAACTTCAGGCTAAAAATTTAGTTAAAAATAATTTAGAAGCTATCTATTAGGATATATATATTATAACATAGATAACTATATTACTTACTTCTCTAAGCTGGCTAATTGCTTGTTCACGCTTAACAATTATTTGTTCAAGATTAGAAACCTTTTGTTCTAGGTTTACTAAATCTTGGTTCATTCTATTACTTGATCTTTGGCTTCTTAATTTTATTTTACTTTTTTTTTTTTTTTGTTTTAGTTTCTTATCAATCCGTGATGCAATTTCAACTGTATATGTTTCACTAATAACTGTTAAGAATGGTTCTGTTATTTGTGATGACAATTTAGGTACAAGAAAGGATAGTTGTCAACGATTTGAGACACGTATGGTCTTTTTTTTTTTTAAAAAAAAACATTACACAATATACAATCAATGTCAAATTACTGACGTATATGCAGAGGTACGTCAACTATGATTGTGATCTGATCCATCTTCCTGAATAGACCTGTCCGGACAGTCCATATTTATGTGACAATTATTAACCAATCAATTATAATAATTACTTATTTAGATTTGCATCACTCGCACAAATAAGTGCATGCTGTATATACGTATGTATATACATACGTACCAGATTAATACAAGTCAAAAACTTGTAGATCTTTGCAAAATAATTTTCACATGACAAGATCATGCTGTCCAATAAGCGATTTACTTATTTGCAACAGTGATACAAACCAAAAAAAGAGGGATATATAAAGCAGAGCAGATTCTTATCATATATATTTTTTTGAATAAACTTTAGGGTTAGGGTCATCTTATATTGAGGTTAGGTCAAATTTTAGGTAGTTATATATAAGCAAAATTGCCTTTACAACATTTTTAATTAACCTACCCGAGGTAGGTTTAGACTGCCGTTTTTTGTATTTTTTAGGGTTTTCGTTTTCATTTCTCGTTTTGCTTCACCAGCGATCATCAAAATTCTATAATTTGATTGGCCAGATATCACATGATTCTGCTCCACTTTAGACGACCCCAAAAAAGGAAAAAAATCAAAAAATATCCTTTTTTATTAGTAAAAATAACGCATAAGAGTCACGATGTTAAAGTTAGGCAAAATTTTGAGTTACTGGCTATTTTTTGAAAAAGCCTTCGTTTTTATATTACACCAACAGTTACACCTGATCTTACGATCTATATAAGAAAATTTCCTTATTTGGTTTGTATCACAGGCGCAAATAAGTATATATTCATCCAAGATTTTGTACACAGATAGTTGCTAGTAAACCATACACTTAGTACTTCATACTATGTTCCTGGTACAGAATGACCTTGTTTGTGGCTGGCAGATTCTTGCACTTACTATTCCGAGTAATTGATTCGAATCAGCCAATTAGAAGTTACAGAAAGTCCAGTAATATTCGATCACTGGAAGCTTCCAATCCAGTGTAGGGATGGGTTCGGTTGGCTTGTAGTCAGCTAGCTGACCAACTATAGCTGTAGTCGATAATAGTCGACTATAGCAGCTTAGCCGACCGGCTAGCCTACACGTGATATCAGGCCAATTAAAAACTACCCCAGAATCAGCAAAAGTTTCATTTTTGATAGATCTGCAGTTACTTTTTTGATAGGTGCAGATCATACCCTAAATTTAAATAGCGTTCTTGATACACCATATCCCACATAGAATTTAAAATTTTTCAAAAATTTGAGTAAAGATATCTAGATGGTCACCCAACCTTATTAAATAATTTTTTTTTTATTTTGATTCAACTATTCTGTAGAATCAAAATAAAAAAAAATTCATCAAATTTGACTAGGTGGTTGCTGAGATAATTTTGCTCAAAGTTTTATACAAATTTTGTCACAACCATCATTTTGATAGATGTTTTAATGTTTTCAAAACTTTGAGCAATGATATCTCAGCAACCACCCAGCCAAATTCGATAAATTTTTTTTATTTTGATTCAACAGAACTGTAAAACCAAAATAAAAAAAAATTATCGAATTTGGCTAGGTGGTTGCTGAGATATCATCGCTCAAAGTTTTGAAAACATTAAAACATCTATCAAAATGATGGTTGTGACAAAATTTGTATAAAACTTTAAGCGAAATTGTCTCAGCAACCACCTAGCCAAATTTGATGAATTTTTTTTTATTTTGATTCTACAGAATAGTCGAATCAAAATAAAAAAAAATTATTGAATTAGGTTGGGTAACCATCTAGATATCTTTACTCAAATTCTTGAAAAATTTTAAATTCTATGGAATATGATGCATCAAGAATACTATCTAAATTTAGATATGATCTGCACCTATCAAAAGTAACTGCAGATCTATCAGAAATGAAACTTTTTGCCCAGGAACGCTACCAAAATTTTCATGCTCACGTGAAGATCTATGGAAATTATTCAATAGATGATTGTAATTTGGTGTAACATAATATGATCAGGAAAATTTAAAACAAAAATTAGCAAAAATTAGCATAAAAAACTACCTTCTGCACTCTAACAAAAAAATTTCCTTGAGCAATTTTACTATACTTAACCCTAAATTCTAACCCTTATACTAACCCTAATCCTCTATAAATAAACTTTAAAAAAATTTATATATATCACATGAATATGAAAATTTTGGTAGTGATACAAGGGAAGATCCAATTAAATATTATGTTTACAGGATTTTTCATATTTTTAGATTGATCCGTGTTGATCTGTTTATACTAGTAGTTCTGTTCAACTTTTTGGTGGCCTATATTTTTTCTATTTTAGAAAGTGTTATAGTCATTATGTTTTTGCTTATTTAGAGGGTCGTCTAAAGCCATATACCTACATGACTTTTTTGTGTAAATCAACCAACTGGAATTGCAAAATTTTGTTTACATGGATCAGTCCGAAGAAGTCAAAAAATAAAGAAAATGCAAAAAGATGAAAAATAACAGTTTTAACCTATCTTGGGGCACTAATTAAAAATGTCAGAAAGGCAATTTTACTTATATCTCTCTTCTTATATTAACACCCAACTAACTCTAATCCTAATCTTAATTTTAATTTAAACGATTAAAACATTAAAATCATGTGGGTACATGGTTTTAGCCATCCCCTTATTTAGATATTATTATGATAATCATATATAATTAGGGTTCCAATTATTTGTCTAATATTTATTTGCCTGATAATTACTTTCTTGACAACTATTTGCCTAATAATTATTTGCCTGACATCTTTATTTGCCTGACAATCACTTGCCTGATACCTTTTTTTAATTTATAATTATTTTTTTAATATTTTAAAGATGTCGGGCAAATGATTGTCAGACAAATAAAGATATCAGGCAAGTAATTGTCAGGCAAATGGTTGTCAAGAAAGTAATTGTCAAGCAAATAAATATCAGACAAATAATTGGAACTCCTAATTCATATCTTAAACTAGTTTTTTGCTGCTACTAGTTTTTTTTTTTTTTTTTTTTTTTTTTTTTTATTATTATTATGAATTTGCTGTATACATGATAAGATTAGTTACAGATTTGTATCAAGATGATATTAAATTTTAACTATCTA